GTAGATTGCTTGTCTCCATTTTGTTTAGTTCTTTTTCTGCATCTTTGTTCTGCTCTTTTATTTGGGACATGTTTGTCTCCCCATTTTGGCTGCCTGCTTATGTTTTTTTTTCCCCTATGTTAGGTAGGGCTGCTCTATCTCCTGGTCTTAGTAGAGTGGCCTCATGTAATAGGTGTCTTGCTGGGCTCATTGCAACAGTCTCCCTGGTCACCTGAGCTGGTATTTCAGGTGTTTCACTTGTGTGGGTTGTGTGTTTCCTCCTGTTGTATTTGAACCTTGGTTGCTGTTTGCACCTCAATGCGAGGGTCTGACCCTTGGGCTGATTGTTTGTGAGGACTGGCCATGACTACAGTGGAGGAATTTTTACGGAGGGGCTGGCCCTATGGAACAGGATTTATTATAGCAGGGCTCTGGTGCCTTCCCAGTCTGCCCCTTGGGTTTGTCATGTGCAGAGACAGCTGGGTGGTGTTCTGGCCGAATCTGAAGCCAGCAACCAAGCATGCAGCCCCGGAGCCTCCTGGGAGTGGCCCTGCCACAGGCCAAGTTCTGTTGCAGCTTGTGTCCTGCCCAGGGATACCTGGCATGTGCCACAAAGCAATCCACAAATGGTAGCCACCCGCGCTGGGCTTTGGCATGCCTCAAGAGGCCAAGCCATGAACTGAGGCCAGCTGCCACTAGTGCCGGGCTTGGGGCTGCTTACCAAGAGGTACAGGGCACACTGAGACCGGATGCTGCTTGTTTGGGGTTTGTGAAGGTTTGAGAGATTTTTTTTGCATTTTTTAATTAAAGTTTATTGCAGTGACAATTGTTAGCAAAGTTACATAGATTTCAGGTGTACAATTCTGTAATACATCATCTATATATCACATTGTGTGTTCACCAGCCAGAGTTAGTTCTCTTTCCATCACCTTATATTTGATCCCCTTTACCTTCATCTACCAACCCCCTCTCCCCTTACCCTCTGGTAACCACTAAACTATTGTCTGTGTCTATGAGTTTTATTTCTTCATTTGTTTTTCTTGTTCTTTTGTTGTTTTCAATTTTATGTACCACATGTCAGTGAAATCATATGGTTCTTGACTTTTTCTGTCTGACTTATTTTGCTTAGCATTATAATCTCACGATCCATCCATTTTGTTGCAAATGGCACTGTTTCGTCTTTTCTTATGGCAGAATAGTATTTCTTTGTGTATATATACCACAACTTTCTTATCCAATCATCTATTGAAGGTCACTTTGGTTGTGTCTATGTCTTGGCCACCGTAAATAAAGCTGCAGTGAACATTGGAGTACATCTATTTTTTTTCAAGACTTTTATTGGGGAATTGGGGGGATGGGAACAGTGCTGGGGAATTGGGGGAAGGGGAACAGACAAGTTGCTGTCGTTTTGTTCTTCAGTCTAGTTGTGGAGGACGTTGCTTCACTGGCCCAAGTTGGCACCATCATTGCGCTCTTCCCGGGCGAGGCAGATCAGTCGCCGGCTTCTGGACGGCCGCTCACTGCGGCTGCTGGCGACATACGGTAACCCGTGGCACCCCACTGCCACAGGGGCTGCAGCCTATGCCGACGCCGGCGACTCATGGCAGCCCAGCTCCAGGTTGAGCTGTTGTTCAGCATCTTAGCTGTGGAGGGCAGTGTCACTGGCCCTCATATGTGGGATCCAAACCGGGGCCTTCTTGCGTCCCAAGCCAGTTCTTAACCATCGTGCCACTTGGCCGGCCCGGAGTACATCTATCATTATGGATAAAAATTTTCAGATTTTTTTTGGTAGATACCCAAGGGAAGGATTGCTGGGTCATATGGTAATTCTATTTTTAATTTTTTGAGGAACCTCCACACTGCCTTCCATAGTGGCTGCACCAGTCTACATTCCCACCAACAGTGTATGAGGGTTCCTTTTTCTCCACAGCTTCTCCAACACTTGCTATGATTTGTCTTATTGATGATAGCCATTCTAACTCATGTGAGGTGATGTGCCATTGTGGGTTTTATTTGCATTTCTCTGATGATTAGTGATGTTGAGCATTTTTTCATATGTTCATTGGCTGCTTTGAGAGATTTTAGGAAAATCTGCATGATGAGCCAAGACTGGCCTTTTGCATGAAAAAAACACTGGAAGTGTCTTGGGTGTGCCTGAAAGTTGGGTGGGGCAGTGTGTCAGGGAATCACCAAGACAGAGGAAAGGTGTTAGCCAGGTTTATGGAGACTCAGATATGGTGAGTACGTGTGTCTGCACGTTGGGCAGAGGGGAGGGCTCAACAAAGGAACAGTGGCTTCTGCCAGCACTTCTGTCTGGGAGAAATCTGCTTCTCCAGCCCTTACTCAGAAGACAGAAAACTCAGCTCCTCCCCATATGCCTTTGGCATCCTTTAAGCTCCTGCCGTGGTGCTGGCGCTCAGCGTGAGTGAGCCTGTTAGCGAGTGAGTCCATGCACAGGCCCTTCATGAGGAATGCTTGTGACTCTAGCAGCACTCCATCTCACTCAGCCACAATTGCCGCTGGTTTTCACAGCCAGAAATTATGGGGACTTCGCTTCCTGATACTGGAACCCTGGGCTAGTGAGGCTGATGTGGGGTTGGGATGCTTCACTCTTTAAGGGGGACCTACACAGCTGAGATAGCCCTCCTGATTTTTGACCGCCATGTGTAGGTGTGGGACCAGCCTGTTTTGCTTCTCCACCTATCCTACCAGTCTCAAGATGGTTTCTTCTGTATATCCTTAGTTGTAGCACTTCTGTTCAGCTAGATTTCAGGTGATTCTCCATGATGTTTGTTCTGTAGGTTTAGTTGTAATTTTTATGTGGTCATGAGAGGAAGCGGGCACAGTGTTGACCTAGTCTACCATCTTGATGATAAATCTCCCAGAAAATATTTTAAATGTTGTTGTTTTTTTTCCCAGTCTCCTAGGTAAAACATATCACAGGTCTGGTAGGAAAATATAACATAGGTTTCCGTCTACCTAGCAAAAGTTCAGAAATTCCAATTTGGGGAAAGGACAGTTATAAGACAAGGAGAGTTTCCCCTACTAGCTCATGTCATTGCTGCTTTAGTGGACATTCTAGATAACATGTCTAGATTTGCACTCATTACCATTAAGGAGTTACCTGTTTTATTAAATGGAGGAGTTAAGTTGGTCTTGCTGCCTTGGCCCAGTTAAATATGTATGGGCAATGCTGGTAGGGCGGGTGACCTCTTACATTGAAATTGTCTTCCTGGTGGCTCAAGGGCTTGGGAATTTGTTGAGAATTTGAATTTCCTTTTGACCAAGTTTTCAAAAATGTTTTCAGATTTATATTATAATAATGGAAATTATTCGTAACCTCACCTTCCATGAAAATGATGACAACTTGGAAGAATTTCTGCTTTATAAAGAGTCCATAAAGAGTCCAGTTGATTTTATTAGCAAGACAGGCATCCCACAAGTATTATGAAAACATAATCTTCTCATTTACAAACAAATTGGGAAGGCTTCACTTACCCCTATATTCTTAGTTGTTGGGGGTGTGTATATATTCCTTAAATGGAGATCCTCTTCATTATTTCATTCCTATGGAGTCAAGATTTGGCTTCTAAGTTGCAAGGGTACAAAAAATTCAAATTTTTAGTCTCAGCTTGCTTCTACCTTTGCTTTTGGATATCATAGGCTTGCAATGAGGAAGAATTGTGTTTGACTTATTTAGTCTTAGAGCTGATTCATTAGTTTGAATCTTTAGGGATATTTAAAGGTCCCAAAATAAAAATTGAGAGATTACAGTCCAATATGAGTGAGACAGAAATTGCAAATAATCTGAGGTTAATTACAGGACTGCAGACTTCAGAAAGATAATTTTGGCCTCTTTGTACCTTTCGCAGTTGATCACCCTTTTCCTCTCATTTGGAGAGGAGACAGCCATGTAAAAGTGGGTTGGGCTTCCTTTCCATGCCAAATTAAGCTTTTCTCCCTGGAGAACCCTGCTTTCTTATTTTGTAAGCATTTCTCTACTATAATAACCAAAGTGAGATATACCTTTCCCCAGAATATATCCAGTTTAGAGTGAAGAAGAGCAGAGGTGAGGACATCCATAAATGGGAATCTTTTTTTCCCCACCTACCTGAGCGTGCGGGCCAGGGCCGGGCTGCACTGCTCCATCTTTCTTCCCTATCTGAGCTGCCCTCGCCAAGCCATGGCGAGCTATAAATGGAAATCTTTTTTTTTTAAGATTTTATTGGGGAATTGGGAGAGGGGAACAGTGTTGGGGAAGGGAACCAGCCAAGTTGTTGTACTTCAGTCTTCATTGTGGAGGGTGCCAGTCGCCATCTGGCTTCCCGTTGGCAGCTCATGGCTTCTAAGCTCAAGGTGCTGTGTTCAATCTTAGTTGTGGTTGGGCATAGCCACCATCCCTTGCAGGAGTTGAACCAGCAGCCTTGTTGTTAAGAGCACATGCTCTATCCACTGAGCCATCCTGGCGGCAGCTCAGCTCAAGGTGCCGAGTTCAGTCTTAGTTGCGGGTGGGTGTATCCCACTATCAAACAGGCAATCTTGTTGTTCCACCACATGAGCCATCCTGCCACCTCTTGGCAGCTCAGCGACAGCTTAACTCGGGCGCAGCGTCACTGGCCCATGTGGAAATCAAACCGGTGGCCCTGTTGCTCAGAGCTCGTGCTTTTAAGTCAACTCTTAACCAACTGAGCCACCTGGCCGGCCCTGTGAATGGGAATCTTAAGAACTTGACATCTACAATTACTTCTATCAGTAGAGTCTGTCTTAGACTTGGGGAAGACATAGAGGTGGGGAAGTTGGAAGAGATAAAAAAAAGGGCTCCTAATTCCTATTCATTGTCACATTCTCGGTATGGTAAGTTATAATAAATACAAGGCAGCCTGCTATTCATGAAGAACCTTCTCGCCATTCTTTCTTTTATGGAGCTGGACACAGAGGTCTAAACAGAGGGCTGCATTTGGGGGCTGCATAACTGACCCTGTTGTTCCCTTTACTTCCATCTTGTGACTCTGGTTTTTCAGCTGAAAAAGAAGCAGGTATATGTAGATAAGGTGGAGAAGATGCAGCAGGCTCTTGTACAGCTCCAGGCAGCATGTGAAAAACGTGAGCAGCTGGAGCACCGTCTACGGACACGACTGGAGAGAGAACTGGAATCCCTCAGAATTCAACAGGTTTGGAGAGCTTAAAGAAAATAAGTATTCCTGATTGCTTACTTTTCACTTGGTTTTTTACATGAAGACAAAAACCACACTCTTGCTGATCTTTAACATTTTCGCCTCACTTGCTCTTACTCCAGAGTGTTTCCCAATTGTAAAGATGAAGCCTGCATCTTTAACTTCCTATCCCAGCAAAATCCTTAATGCCTATTACCTTGTACCTTTTAATTTTCATATGAATCTCAAAAACAGTAGACCCAATAAGAAGTGAGGATTTTATGCAAATAGACTCCCAATCATTTTAGAATTGGAAATGGTCTTTGGAATCATCTGGCCATACTCCTTCCCAGTTTTAGATGAGAGAAAATCAAGACCCAGAAAAGGTTGCCTGACCCGCTGAAAAGTCATATACCAAGTTAATGGCAAGGTAGAAACCAAATCCTACATTTTTAATTCCCATTTCTATTGTGTACATGCTGGCAGGCAGGGATGGTGGTTTTCGAACCATCGATCCACTTTCTTAGCAGCATGACAATTTGGTAGGGCAAGCTCCTTTCCTGATCAAGGGAGTCTCATACTCCAGCCAAAGAAAGTCCTGTGGCCTTAAGAGGAAATCTGAATTCCCTTTTGTTTTGGAATCAGAATTCAAACTGAAGTGGCTTGGGCAATAATCCTTTCTAAATACAGTAAAACCTTGGATTGCGAGTAACTTGGTTTGCGAGTGTCCTGCAAGACGAGCAGACATTTCTACTAGGTTGGTGCAAAAGTAATAGCGGTTTGTGCCATTACTCCTAACCAACCTAGGAATACATTTTAACTTGGTACACGAGTGATGCCTGGCAATATAAGTAGTTTGTTTCCGAAACAAATTATGCTTGAAAACTGAGGTATTGCTGTATAGGGGCTCTTCAAATAAGACTCAGCCACCATGCTTCGTCCCTCACTAATCTGAGGGGTCTTGGCATCTCTCCCAACAGCGCCAGGGCAACTCTCAGCCCACCAATGTTTCAGAATACAATGCTGCAGCACTGACGGAGCTCCTTCGTGAGAAGGAGGAAAGGATCCTGGCTCTGGAAGCTGATATGACTAAGTGGGAGCAGAAGTATTTAGAGGAGAATGTAATGAGACATTTTGCTCTGGATGCTGCTGCAACTGTCGCTGCTCAGAGGTAAGTACTTGGCTAGTAGAGTCACTCCTTGAAATGCATGGGGGCGGGGAGGGGAGGAAAGAAAGGTAAGTGACAGATTAATAGATTTTCCAGTATGTTTTTTTTTCTTCTGTAATGTTCTGTTTGTTTCCTCCCCCCCCCCCAGTTTCTTCTTAAGTGTGCTTTCTTTTATTGGTTATGCAGGGACTAAATGACTGTGGGGGCAGAGGGTCAGGGATTTGAAACTGAAAGTTACTTATAAACTTATTGGAATCATAGTTCAGCTTTCCTCAAGAGCCAGAACAATCACAGATGGGTTCAACTGAGTGTTTGCACACCTCCTTCGACAGTTTCTTTTACCCACCTGTGTAGGTTTCTTTGTTTAATGCTTGGACTGCAGTGAAAGCCTCTCCAGAGAAATGCCACTCAGAAACTAAATGTCACTCAGGAGTGGCTGCCCATTTGATAGTTCTGGCTCGTCCAAGATGTGCCAAAGGCTGTGCTGAACATGAATTGATTCCTGCCCTTTGAGAAGGTCTATATTTGAAGGCTCCATTCTCTGTCCATGAGACCATCACATGTAAGCAGTCACATTCCATTCGGTAAGGGAGAGAATACGGCAGGAGGAGTTTTAGAACTTCGCTTCTCATTTGTTCCCCTCTTTACGTTATAAACATTAATTATTGATCTTTGTAGGAAACAATGCTCTTATCTAGTTTGTCTCACTGCTCTTCATAATCATCAGTTGTAAAAGGAAGAAACAATGACAAAAACTAAATTCAAATCAGGAGGTGACATAGGTTGTGGAGATATAGACAGAGCCTTGGTCAGGAGTTGGGTACCTCAGGTTGGCAGTAGCATACTGCACCCAGCTAGGCCTCTATCCAGAAACGTATTAAGAACCACAGTGCTGTTTTTAGCATTCTCCTAAACACAGTGAGCTGGCAGAGTCTGGAAGTGCTTGGCAGACTTTGGGCTGGGTTGTGTGTGGAGGGGGTGGGGAATACATTTGGTTTCACGTCCTTCTCTTGCCGAATCAGAGGGAGGTCAGTGCTTAAGAAATGGACTGGTAGTTTGTGAACCTAATTCCAATTCTCTAGAAAGACATCTTAATATCTCTCCAGATATCCCATATAAACCTTATTAAATTGATTAAAATCACCTGTGTCTTGATTTTGAGGTCCTCATAGGCTTAATCTTACCTGTCTTTGTTTTCTGAGAGCAATGTGCTGAGTACATGCTAGTATAGTAATAGAGTGCACAGAAATCTGTGCTGAAAGATGGTCAAGAAGTTTGTAAGTAGATCAGAAGTAGAATTAATTCTAATTTAAGCTGCTAGCTTTCACAAAAACACCTGTGTGCAACAGTTGTTCAGAACTTACTCAGGAAACCCTAACTGAAAAGAAAATGCAAGGTAGCCATGTCTTCTTTGGGCAGATACTTAGAAAGATGTGGCTCATGAAGTTGTACAGTGTGAGAAAATGTTGGAAAGTCAGGGTTCTTGGTACTGGGAGGTTCACTGCTGAAACTGACTTCAGAATAGACTTTGGGTCAAGATGCAGAAAAGTGAGGAGGTTGTCACTAAGACATAGTATAAATAAACAACCTCCTTTCTTTTCTCCCTGGAAAGTTTTGAGCATTGGAGGAACCCTCCTTCAACTGGATTTCTTTCCAGAATCTGTTGGCTCCCACAAGGTATATTTAATTAATTTATTTTAATTTAATTTTTATTTTTCAGTTGCAATTGATATTCAGTATTATTTTATATTAGTTTCAGGTGTCAACATAGTGATTAGACATTTATGTAATTTATGAAGCAATCCCCTGATTTGTCTAGTAGCTACCTGGCATCATACATAGTTATTACAATATTATTGACTATGTTTCCTATGCTATACTTTACATGCCCATGACTTAGCTGAGCCATCCTGCTACCTATTGGCAGCTTACCGGCAGCTCAGCTTGGGCCGGGCATCGAACCGCTGTTGCTCAGAGCTCAAACTCTTGAGCGAGCTCTTAACCAACTGAGCCACTTGGCTAGCCCCTGATTTGTACTTCTTAATCCCTTCAACTTTTTACCCAGCCTCCCAACCTCCCTCCAATCTAGTAACCATCAGCTTGTAAATTAAAAATAGAACTACCTTGGGCCGGATGAGTGGCTCAGTTGGTTAAGTGTTAGCTTAAAAGCACAAGCTCTGAACAACAGGACCGCCGGTTTGATTTCCACATGGGCCAGTGATGCTGCACCTGAGCGGAGCTGCCACTGAGCTGCCAATACGTGGCAGGATGGCTCAGCTGGTGAGAGCACGTGCTCCTAACAAGACTGCCTGTTTGATGGTGGGCTATACCCGCCCACAACTAAGACTGAACTTGGCATCTTGAGCTGAGCTGTCACCCGGATGGCTTCATGGATAGAGCGTGCACTCTTAACAAGGCTGCTCATTCGTCTCCCACATGGCATGGTGGCTACGCTCGCTCGCAACTAAGATTTAACACAGCACCTTGAGCTTAGAGGCCATGAGCTGCCATCGGGCAGCCAGATGGCAACTGGCACCCTCCACAACTAAAATTGAAGAACAACAACTTGGCTGGTCCCCTTCTCCAATTCCCCAACACTGCTCCCTTCCTTCAATTCCCCAATTAAAAAAACAAAAAAAACAATGGAACTACCTTATGACCCAGCAATTTCACTTCTGGGTATTTATCCAAAGAAATCCAAAATACTAATTTGAAAAGATAGATGCACTTGCAGCATTATTTACAGTAGCCCAGATGTGTTAGCAACCTAAGTACCCATTGATAGATGATTGCATAAAGAAGAGGTGGCCCATTATATACAGTGGAATATTACTCGGCCATAAAAAAGGATGAAATCTTACCATTTGCAACAGTGTGGATGGACCTAGAGGGTATTATGCTACATGAAATAAGTCAGAGAAAGACAAATACCATGTGATTTTATTTATATGTGTAGTCTAAAGAACAAAATGAATGAACACACAAAACAGAAAGGTAGGTTTAATTTAAACCAAATTCCTTTAAATTTCCACTAGAAAATTTCCATGTAATCACTGTTTTCAGTAAAATGTGCATGATTATCATTTAATATGATAAAACGCAGCCAGTTCCTCCCTAGTAGGAACACCTTGAGATAGTTCCTCGGGCAAATGTTCCATACTTGGACTCTGTACCTTTTTCATGCTTATTAATCCAACCCATCGGAGAGATTGAGAGATTGAGATACATATTTAAATTCCTATACAAAGGGAGAATTGGACTAGGTGATTCCTTCAGACCCCTATATTTCTGGAATTATTCTATATTTCCAAAGGTAGTGTCTCTTAACACTCTCCTATGGAAATTGGTTTCCTTCTCCTCCTTTTTTTCTTTATGAGATTTCAAATTTGGAAGGTAACATTCAGAAAAGTTTATTTCATAACCTGTAGGTGCTTCTGCCTTCCCTTCTAACATTTCCTGCTATTCCTTTTCTGTTCAGTGGTTTCACTCTCCCTCCTCCCAACCTAAATATAGGTATTGATGAAGGCTCTGCTGTTTGTCTCTTTTTGTGGTAAAAGCTTTATACAGTAGTGTATTTTCTTCCAAAATAATTTGTACGTGCCCAGTATAGAAAGTGCCCAACATATTTGAATAAGGAAGGAAGGGAAGAAAAAAGGAAAGAGAAAAGAAGAATGAAATAAGGAAGGAGATGATTTCTAACTCTATAATTGAAATTCCTAAATGTAGTGCCCATTTTAATGGCCTGCTTGGTTTCTATGTATTCTGCTAGTATCTGAAACTTAATATATTCCCAATATAATAGCTCATAGGTAAATAACAGGTTGCACAATTAGGACATGTTGTTTGGATTGTATCAATGGCAGTTGCAGAATATTTTTTTCTAATTAAGGTATTATTACATATGAAAAATCACCTACTTTAAGTGTATGGTTTGATGAATGTTAGTAATTGTATACAGTTACACAGTCACCACACAATCGAGATAGCAGCACATTCTAAAGTGTGTTTGTGCCTCTTTAACTTGATCCCTTCCTCCGATGCTAGACCCCAGACAACAGCTAATCTGCTTTTTTGGTCATTATAATTTTGCCTTTCTGAGAATGTTATATATTATAAAAGGAGCCATATAGTATGTACTCTTTTTGTTTGACTTTTTTCACTCAGCCTAATTATTTTGAAATTCATCCAAGTTCATGCATGTATCAATGGTTTATTTCTTTTTATTGCTGAGTAATGTGCTATGGTATGGATTTACTGCAGTTATTTATACATTCAATACAATGATGGATATTTGGATTGTTTCCAGGTTTTGGCCTTTGTGAGTAATAAAATACAGATTTTTTAATAGAATAGACAGCTATCTTTCCTCAGGCGAGAAGACATATTAGGTGATCTATTTGTAGCCCTTCCAGCACTTTGATTATATGAAGCACCTCTTATCACAGGGAAAGATGTTCACGCAAGAAATCACATGTAGTATTTACTGTATAAGGTACTCTTCTAAGCGCTTTACAATTATTGCTCATCCTCATGCTAATTCTTTGAGATAAGTGCTATTATCGATTCCACAGATAAGGAAACTGAGGCACAGGTTAAAATAGTTTGCCCAAGATTCCACACAGCTACTAAGAGGTAGAAGAACCGGGAATTAAATCTACATTTTGACACCTTAACCACTCTAATCTGCTGCTTCCCAGATATGATGATTTCAAAGATGATGAAATAGGGATTATTGCCTGTTTAAGAGTTACTATTTGAGGCTTAATATTTAGTCATTTAGAAATATTATAAATAATTACAATAATAAAGCCTATATTAAAACTCTATATTATTGTATCCCTAGAGATTCCTCTCTAGATGCTTAATATAGATGAGGAAAATTATTACTCAGTAGAGTATAAGCCCAGAAAAAGTGATTTGGCAGTGCAGATTTTTAGTTTCAGCTCACAAATGGTGAATTTATTTTTGAAGATCAGCAAAAGGATAAAAAGATAAAATACCTGATCAACCATGTAACTTATGAGTTTACATTTATTTAATCAGGTTATTGCCTTTCTCAGAATGTGCAATGTTTCATTTGGGTAAAGTAAATCTGGGAAAGAAGGAAGAAAGGAAAAGCAGGAGGTGGAACCTGGTCACACACATTACACTTGTCTACCTTTTCCTTCATTGTAGGCCTTTCTCGGTTTCCATCCTTGGCTTTCTTCTCATTTTTTTATTCTATCTTAGTTTTCTTGTTCTGTACTATAACTTCAAATAGTAACTCTGACATCTCCAAGATTAAAGTTAGAATGTTCAGCAACTTGTTGGACATTATCATATTCATATTCATAAGACACTTTAACTCAAATGTACCTAAAATCAAAACCCATTATAGTGTTTTTTGAAAAAAAAATCTCTCCATGGTTTCCTATCTCAGAAAATGAGCAGTATGCCATCTTTTCTAGTCATTTGAATTAGAAACAACAAAGTTCTCACTCATTCTTCCCTCTCCTCAACACACACATTTAAACAGTCTCCAAGTTCTAGCAAGTCTGCCTTCTATAGTCTGTTTCCATTTCCCTTGCCACATCACTGGTTCTTGTTTTCATTATGTTTTGCTGGGATTATTACATTTCTGGGAATATAACCTTTCCAACTGGTCTATCCAATTCTATTATATGCTCCTCTAATCCCTCCATCACATTTCAGCAAAAGATAATGCTATCTTCCTAATACACAGCTGGGATCATTTCATTTACCTTGAAAGCTCAAAATTTTCAATGCCTGTTAAAGTCCAAATTCATTTCTGTAATTGTTAATCATTTACATGTTTGTCTCCCTTACAAGTTTCTTACAGGCAGCAACTAGTATTACCCATGTCTAGCCACTCTCCAGCCTCCCAGTAACTTCAATCACAGTGCCCTACTCATGGTTGAGTTCACACATTAAATAAACAAAAGGATGCTACCAATATGAAAACATGGACTTGAAGTTTAAAAGGCCATTAGCTATTTTAATTAGGAGGTCATGGGTGACATTCTAGAAAGCAATGTAAGTAACTTGATGGGGATAACTTTGTCAGGGTAAGGAAGGAGAGAGAAAATGACTGCAGGAATAGTTGCCAGAAATTGTTTACTTAAGAATTTGAGATGGAGGATGTCAAATTCAGGGATATAAGGTTTAGGGTTTGCAGGTTGTGTTTTCAAGCCCAACATGTCTCTACTGGTGTACTTAAAGATCATCTTACAGTATTGCAAGTTAGCAGGTCACATTGCTCCTTCCAACACTGTTTGTTTGCTTTTGCCTAAGCCATTGGCTAAATAGCCCCAGGCTTCTAGAAGGAAAATTTATGTTGAAGGCCATCCTGGCAGCTCTGTAGGAATTCACTAAGTGCCCCACATTTTCAGGCTCCATTTCTGAGGAGCTCACAGTGTCCATATCAATTAGCTGGCAGGGCTCTGACTCCCCCAAATGGTCTTTTGTGCAATGATTGTGGCAGTAAGCCAGGACTGGCTCCCCCAGTGACAAACTGTATGCTCAAGTCCTCAGTGTCTATAAATACCATACACTTTTTAGAGAGTCCTGGCTCTGAAGCCTCAGCCATTACCTTGGAACTCTACACTGCAGGAACTGCCTTCAGGGTTTTACCAAGAGCTGGGATTCTATCAAGCCGTACTCTCCTGAATGTTTTTCTCTTCTACCTGTACTTTTCTCTCCTAATAATAGATAACTTTGTTGAGTATTTTTACTGTGTATTTCCAATTTTGTGTGTGACACTATTTTTTAAGAATTAGATTATTATGTTTAAATTTATTGGAGTGACATTGGTTAGTAAAATTATATAGGTTTCAAGTGTAGAGTTCTACAATACATCATCTATATATTGCATTGTGTGTTCACCACCCAGAATCAGTTCTCCCTCCATCACCATATAATTGATCCCTTTTTCCCTCTCCTACCACCCCCCTCCCCGCTTACCCTCTGGCAACCTCTCAACTGTTGTCTGTGCCTATAAGTATTTGTATCTTTGTTTGTCTTCTTCCTGTGTTGTTTTCAGTTTCATATCCCACATATGAGTGAAGTCATATGGTTCTTGACTTTTTCTGTCTGACTTATTTCGCTTAGCATGATAATTAACTACCCATTCATATTGTCACAAATGGAAGTACTTCATGTTTTTATTGACTGAGCAATATTCCATTGTATATATGTACCACATCTTCTTTATCCAGCCTTCTATCAGACCTTGGGTTCAAAGAGCATTTTATGAATTTGACCTCAAAGGCAAGGAAAGTAAAAGCTAAAATAAATGAATGGGACTATATCAAACTCAAAAGCTTCTGCACAGCAAAATAAAGCATCAACAAAACAAAGAGGTAACCATCCAAATGGGGGAAGATATTTGCAAACAACATCTCCAATAAGGGGCTAATATCCAAAATATATAAGGAACTCATACAACTCAACAACAAAAAGACAGACAATACAATTAAAAAACGGACAGAGGACATTAACTGACACTTCTGAGAAGACATACAAACAGCCAACAGATATATGAAAAAATGCTCAACTTCACTAACTATTAGGGAACTGCAAATCAAAACCACAATGAGATATCACCTCACACCTGTTAGAATTGCTGTCATCAACACGACAAATAACAAGTGTTAGGCTGTGGAGAAAAAGGAACCCTCCTGCACTGTTGTTGGGAATGTAAATTGGTACAGCCTCTATGGAAGACAGTATGGAGGTTCCTCAAAAAATTAAGAATAGAATTACCATATAGCACTATGTGTTTTACATGCATACTTTAATTTTATTACCTAAAGCCCCATGAGATATAGGTACAATTATTATTTATATTTTTCCATTTTGCATATGAGGAGAATGAGGCTCGAGCACTTAACTGACTTCTGAGCTCATAGAGTTTGTTAGTGGCAGTGTACTTGGGGAAGCTGGGTTTTGACCCTGATGTGGTCTATAGTCAGAGGCCATGCTCTCAACAATACACAATGCCACTTCCTCTTGGGTACTTTGGAACACAGGGACCATTCCCAGTAGGACTACAGCAAGTAAACTGCATTAGAGCAAATGTAGAATTCTGAGATGCTAGAATATTTTGAATTTAGCAAATGATGACAGCCATTGTAGTCCTTCCCCTTCTTACTCTTATTTTTTTTAAAGATTTTTATTGGGGAATTGGGGGGATGAGAACAGTGCTGGGGAATTGGGGGAAGGGGAACAGGCAAGTTGCTGCCCTTTTGTTCTTCAGTCTAGTTGTGGAGGACGTTGCTTCACTGGCCCAAATTGGCACCATCATTGCGTTCTTCCTGGGCAAGACAGATCAGTTGCAGGCCTCTGGACGGCAGATCACGCTGGCTGCTGGCTACACACGGTAGCCCATGGCAACCCACTGCAGCAGGGGCTGCAGCCTACGCCATCGCCGGTGACTCA